CATTATATTTCTAAAATGAATTAGAATTACAGAAAAAAAGTGGATTAATTATAGCATAAGTAATTCAATCTATGAACAAAACCCATTGCAACATAATCAAGATGGATCATTCATAAGTTTCAGGACCGAAGATACACATAGAGTTATTTTAAGACTTCTAAATGCTGCCAATGGTGCTAATACAAACAAGAAAACAAATTTTAAGTTTAATTCGCATTAGACTTGTCTTCACAAAGTGTGACACACAAATCATCAGGCTTTCCACAGGTTTCCACTGTCTAAAAACTGAGTAACAAAAACTGTATGATGTAATACTCTCTCAATATATATAAACCAAGCAGAACAAAATACCACATACGAAGCTCACTCATATGGACCAGCATACCACTGATGTATGCCAGCAACTATATACATCTTTGGCTAGCTGCACAGTGCTAATTTTATGTTCCTTGGGTGTCAGCATTACATAATTTCAATATTAGCTTTATAAAACCTAAACTTGTAATTTATCCAGTATATGCTCTTAAATAGATCCAAGACTAAATGAATACAGTGTGACTAAAACACTATATGAAAAACAGAAGGGATGGGTCCTATTATGAAGTCTGTCATAGTAATTAGATTGCAGCAGTTGAAATAAATTTATTTTTTTCAAATTTATAATTATAAATTGCAAGTCAAGTAACAAGAAGCATATTTAGAAGCTACTTCGTTACTCTTGTCACACTAGTTTTTCTGTGATCAGTCACACCGATTTATGTGCTGCAGCATTTCTGTGTGCTTTTGGTTCAGATTTGCCTAAAACTTCTGGGACTACAATGAAAATGATAATTAATACATTTTTCTTGGTCTCTTCTGTATTTTTACTACAGATGATGGAACATACGAAAATGCAATGGTGCTTAACTTGTCCTAATACAATTCCTTCAGGAATGGTTATTTTCATAAAAGAACTTTTCATACATCCTCACACAATAGTCATTTGGATTGTTAACTAACTTGTTTTTTTAACATTGTCAAATCATCCATCCCCTTCTGTTCCTGTACCAAAATCTGTTTGCTCCTTTCCACAGTTTCTCCCTTCTTAGTGATAGTCCTGCCAGTAATTACTGCTAGCTTTGAAAACTTTCTGGTTTATCAAAGATTATTCTATAACCTGTCTGATATAAAATATAATATCTTAAGTTATCTTTCTCCATTACCCATGTCTTTTACATCCACCCATACTGCTGATATTGCAACTATTTTAAAATTTATTATTTTACAATCTATTTTACTGAATTGCTTAGACATACAGAAGCTACTCATTTTCTGTGAGTCAATCCTAGGGCAGGCATCATCTCCAGAAGTTTAATTTTTCTAACATTCTTTTAAAATTAATTTGGTAATTAGAACAAAAAAAAAATCACAAAAAAATTACTGTCCATTCTAAGAACAAAGAACTCTTAGCAAAAAAGTATTTATCACTCTATGACAATATTTACTCACTGCATAAAGTAATCTGACTGTACATATTAAGGGCTGCTCAGATGACAACTACACTTATCAGTAACTCTGCAATTTTGTGACTACTCTGGTCAATATAAACACCTGAGGTAGATTTGTTTTCCCTGTTATATTATTTCTACTGTTCTGTTGACAGAAAAATAGTTCTTTTTTTATATGAACCTGAACTGTCCTATGTTCTGAGAGATTTATCTAAAGTAGAGAACAAAAATTAAATACAACAGATATTATTTTAGACTAAGATGATGCCCTTATGTGAGAAAAATCTACTTAAGATAAAGGAAAATACTTTTGTGCCAGAGAACATATACATGAACACTATTAGAAAAGTGTATTGGAAGAACCATTGAGGACAGAAGTTCAAGATTTTCATTTTATTATATTAGTTATTAGTCACTTCATCATAGATATTTTTCTATGTCTATTTTCAAGGGTTCCAAGTTTTTACAAAGGTAATATGAAATATGTACAGAAGAGATAAAGAAAAAAGTATTAATATAGAGTGGCTTGATTTAAAGCAAATTTTCATATTACAAAATGCACTGCAGATAGAACTTACAGAACATGCTTGTATGCATGATAAAAGTATTTTAGAATAAAGAAGCTTACATTTTCAGTTGTTCCTGTGATTACATGTAGTCCATCATATGTTGATTTGATATACATTCCCTGAAAAAGAGCAAGAGAGGTAATTAGTATTTGTAGGAAACAAATAAATGATGTTTGCACGATAATTAAAATAGTATGTTTATTCCAGTTTAAGGACCGTAACATTTGAACAGACTGGAAGGAACCATGGTCAATTAACATTTGCAAATCTAAGTTAAACAAATATGTATCAAGACCCATTATAAACAGCATAGTTTTCTCACTTAATGCTTTTTTTAATTCCAAACAAAGTTTTGGACAGAATTCAACACTGAGCATCAGCATAAAAGCTTGTTCCTATTCAGTATTTGAAATATTTAACATGACCTCTTTTTAGGACTAGTGACATATAAGAAGTATCAAAACTGAAACCATGAACAGAAATAGTCTTTAAACTTAAATGCCCCATCTTCAGAGTTACTGATTCAATAAAAATGAAACCATAGCCTAACTCAGAAAAGACATGAGCCAGTGCTTATATTGCCAATTTCTGGAGAAAAATGAGCTTGGTGAACTAACAGGAGCTTTGTAATTATTCCGGCGAGAATTCTGCTTCAAGGAGGCAATTGACAAGATACAAAGAGACAACCCAAGTAGGTATCTATCTAGCTGTACACACACACAGAGGCTTAAATGTCAGTGAGATTCAAGTGCTTGTATTCTTGCCTCTCAGGAGTAAGGTCATAGCTTCACATCTCTCCATATAATATGGTTATCCATCAAATTTTGAAATCTAATTAATCTAATTGGTACATTGTACTGCTGATTTATTATCCTTTCAATAATTCTGTACCACCTTGTGCTGTCAAAATGGAAGTTTAGAGCCCCCAGCAATAAGAAAGAACGTTTTGTTCACAGAAGCCAATTTCAAGATTCCTGAACACTAGTGGAGATCTTCAGGCTAGGTGTTTACACAAACACAGACACCCCCCAAAAAAAACAAACCCCAAAGGTAAAAATACTACAAAGGTAAGATCATATTGCTCTCTACAACTGCCTAAATTGGAAGGGTAGAAGAATAGAGAAGATGGAGCCAAACTCTTCTTGAAAGTGCACAGTAGGAGGATGAGAAGCAAGTTGGAACTCAGTTAAAAAAAAAAAAAGATTTCCCCCTCCTTCAATTTTACCATAAAGATGATAAAACGCTGGAACAGATTGGCAAAGCTGTGGAATCTCTGACTTGGAGATGATCAAAACTTGACTGGATGAGGCCCTGAGCAACCTGCTCTAGGTGGGGCTGCTTTGATTTTTCATCATGAGAAAATGTGACTTATACCTTAACGTAAACTAATTCCATTTCATTAAGTTTTAACTCTCCTTAAATCTTAGAAGTAAAGACTGGCTAAAACTGATAAGATAGCTTAACTCTGCTGCATAGGAAACTCCATTTTAGACTTTACACACCATGACTACTTGTTCTCTTAAATGAGACTGCTTTATAAGTTATTTCGTTTGTAAATAACAAAGATGTCCAAATTAAGTCTTGGAAGTCTGAAATCACTTTCAGAAAATGTGATAAGTTGGAAGAAAGAAGTTTCTGGGGAGTCTTCCACTATTTCCTTCTATACAGTTGGCTTAAGTTTATCAGTGTTCACTATTTTATTGTCTCTGTAGTACTTTCAACTGTTACTGACAAACATCTGATTCTCTTTGCCAACTGAAAACCATAAACAAGAACACTAGATCATGAAAAACTCTGAAGGTTCTCATTGAGAATGGGACATTGAGTCTCCATTAAAAATCTTAAATAGATATTTAAATCCATCTAGTATGTGTTACGCTGGATTTCCACAGTGAACTTTTAGCCGGAATGTTACACAACATTGCTGCATCTATCACAGAAGTCTGTTATTTTAACACATAGTAGACTTCAGTGACACATTTCCAGCCACACTTCTAATATCAAATTTAATATCACAGTTCTAACACCCTTCTTGTTTTGACAAGATTCATTCCCCGCTTAACAAACCAACAGACTAAGATTTTAAGGCCGAAACAGAACATAGTGCTAAACTTTTCACTAAATTTTATCACATATTTCTTCATAAAGTTCTTAGCCTCTTGTTAAGCTATGTGTATTTTTGGAAAAAATCAAATTACAATTTTATCTCAACATATGCCACCTGAGAGACATAAAACCTGACTAATCACTAAGAATTACCCTACATTTTGCTATCTGCTCTTTCATCTTAGCTATTAAACTTTAAGAACAAAAAATATAAAAATAAACAATTTTAGTGAATGACTCATAGCCTTCAAATTATCCTAGATAGAGCTTTCATCCTTGTTTTCCCAAAAGAAAAATAATGATACAGCTCATTTCTTGTTGACGATTAGAGTGGCACTGTATCTCCTTGACATATCTGTGTTAACTGAAAACTTTGAAAGATTACATTCTATTTAAAAAATATAAAATTTTTATATTATTTTTTATTTTATATATTTCAGAAAGCAAGGTATTTTATATAAAATATATATATATTACATATATATTTTACATATCTATCATATATAAAATAATAGCTCCAAAGATATTTTTCCACTCAGGAGAAAGTTTTGAGTATAATACTCAAAACAAGATTGAAAGTATTCTGAAAAAGAACCCCCTGAAAAACATACATCAATTCTGAAAACAGCTTTATTTAGTCTATGTCATCTGTTCTAGAGACCAGGTGTGTTCCCTTCTTCAAATCACTCCCTTGATATGCTGACTGTCAGCACTTGCCTATCCTTTTACAACAGATAACGCAGTGTGTAACACAGTGTGTACAGTTCAATCCAGCTCTCAGTTGCTTTCTGTGGTAGGAAGATTTTTAAAGGACAATTTATCCTTCAACATGAAAAGACACTGACACTTAGAAAAGTATTGTTTCTAAAGGACAATCTGTGTCAATGCTACTTTAGTGACTGGTGTGCTTCATCCCCACCCCCATCCTCATTTTCCTTTTCAAAATCAGTATTTGTAAAGAGAAAGACTAGAATCTCCAGGCATATTTTAAGCAATACTGGCACAGATTAGCAGAACCCCTCAAAAGTTTAAATTGCTCATATATATATATACACACACACAAAGTAGTTTATTGATATAAATGAAAGGCATTAAGGGGATCACTTTCATCAAACTTCCAGTGAAAAATGAAAATCATCTACTCTGGCTTATAGGAAATGTCCAAAATTGCAAAACTTAGTCATTTAGAGAGCTGTTAATTCTGTGAACCCAGAAAAAGCACGCAGGTATTCACAGTCTGAATTAGGCAAAAGAGCTGGACCTTGCTTTCAATTTAATGGGCTATTGGCCATCTTTTTGTTCATCATTGTTTCCTTCCATTTCCACTAATATAAGCATTTTTTAATGGTTAATAAGCCTAAAAAAAAATGGAAATACATTCTGAAAAATTTTCTGTCAGATAACATAAGTTCCAGGCAAATACCAATTTAACACTGCAGTTGAATTGAAGCAGCAAGCCTCTCTTTCCCAAGCCCAGATATGAATAACTAAGTAGATCCTGTTGTGACAACTGCTAACACTTCTGGAACTGTTAGAAATAGTTATTTTGTTTACAATTATTTTCTATTTTACCTGTCGCTTAAAGCAGTCATATTGATTCAGCATATTCAAGAGAGTCTTATTCTTCTTTAATAATGTATTTTTACATAGGCATAATCTTTAATTAACTTGTAAACTAATTTATTAAAAGGCGATCCACATATCCACTATTTTGATCCTATTAACTTCTGTTGTAAAATCTGATGGAAATGAAGATATACTCTTGTAAGCTAATTATTCCTATATAACTCTTTACACAAACTGCTTTCAAACTATTTCACAGATTTCAGCCATATGAGCTGTCAAAGTAAAATGGCAAAACCATCAGGCTAAGACTAAATAAGAAGAATGTTTTGTCAGTGGGTTTCACAGACAAAAACCACATAAACGAGGGAACTTTTGAATCCTGGAATCCATCCTAGGCTCTGGGTGGGAAACTTTCAGTGGGAAGTGGCTTCTTTTCCTGTTGTCTCCCACCTCCCTCTGTCTTCTGGTCCTTCCTCTTCAACATGAATGGCTATCCCTCTCAAGTAAGTTTTCTTGTCCATTTAGTCTCCATAACACAAGCTGCTTCTCCCCTTGTCCATCAGTTCTAGTCTCTCCTTCTGCATTCAGTGCCCAAACCCCAATCTTCCCACAAGCTTTTTCCTCCACACATACAGTCCCAGAATCAGTATCTAGACAGAAGGGATGGAACTCATCTACTTAAACAGTGATATCCCAAGAATATTTAGTCACTTCAAAGTAACCAAGGATATGCATAGGTTTGGTGGATATGCATAGGTTTTGCAGATATGACAGAGAACCTTCTGGAGTGGCAACTGAAAGATGGGCATCTGAAACGGTACCAGACATCTACATCTACACAACTGAGTCCTGCTGTAAAGGTTTCTCCTACCTCTTTCCTTCCACTTTCAGTTGTTTCTTCCCGCTCTTCTGGCTCACAAAGATCCATTCTCCTTGTCTAACCAGTTCCAGGGCTTTCCTACCATATCCTTCACTATCACATCCATCTTTCTACCCAACTAACTCAGTCATCTCCTCCTCAACTCCCAATCTTCTGTCCTCTTGTTGGTCTGTTTTCTGCCCTTCCAAGCAGAATTTCACTGGACTCCATTTCCAAAATGACTTCTCTCCTGCTTTTTAAAGAATGGGTCTTTATTCTGATTCTAGTTTCTTCTTGAATCCCACCAATGATCTTAGAGCGCAGAAGAACGACAAACTATACCCCTTATCTCTGGGCAAGAGTTGAGTATTCTCATTCACTCTGTGAAGATGGCTCAGACTAGTCAACAGTTAGGGGATTAGAAATAAATAGTTGCTCTTTAATAACTGTGATATATCAGATATGAAACTCCAAAGAATTTTACTAATATATGAGAGGTGCTACAGAACAAGGAAATGTTTCACAGGCTGTTTTATCAAGAAGCTGACTGTTCCTGAGTAACTCTGTCACTGTCCCCTAATGAGACAG